TGTGGGAAGCGAGCCAAGAGACTTTTCCACTCAGAACATGCCACGTGGAGCCCTGGACGCTTGTCCCCATCCTCTCTCTTCACACTTTTCTCACTTCTCTTCATTCTCTTTAGACTTTCAAAAGACTCTGAAGATGTTCAAAAGAGATTAACAGAATCTGTTGAAGTATGCTTGTAATCCCATGTTTATATATGTTTCTCTCATTTCTCTCTCCTAAATCTAAATGTACATTCAAGATAATACTATTATTATTATATCTCTCCTCTTTCTAGATACGTATAAAGTTACCTCCTTTTTCTCTCTCTATATTTCTTTTTTTTTTTTTTCCATTATAGCCGCCATCAATTCTTCTGTAAGGCATTTGATGAAAGTGTTTTTGTTTCTGCAGCCTTTTATTACTTTTCCTGTTTCTTTATTTATTGTTTTAGATATAAATTTAAAAATATATCTCCTGAGTAGTTCTCATGATACTTTCTTACCTTTTATATATAGTTAAAGAATGAAAGTTACATATTATTAGAGGAGCAATGTAGATAGATCTTTTTGTTATCTATGATAGGTGTTATTTATAGAAAATATAAATACTGGTTTGAAAGTGACTGCATACTGCACACTTGTTCGCTCTACAATTTGGGCCTTTTTTGGATTATGATTTTTTAACCAAAATAAAAAAAAAAGGAAAAAAATAGTTTTTCTTTTTAAAGTAAAAATTCTTGAAATTGTTCATTTGGAGGTTCTCGGTAATGTCTTAAAATGAACAAATAAAGTTATTTGAATTAGACAACTAAAATTCTTATGTAAAACAACAACAATAAATGGAATTCTCACAAGTAGGGTCTGACATGATAGAGTGTGCGCACACCTTACTCCTAAATTTATTGTAATTGATTAGAAGTATCTATTGATAATGAGTTAAATTTGTTATAAGAATCAACTGAATTGTTTAGTCAACTTCCTAAAATTATATTTCTTTTTATTCCCTTTTTTTCTATAAAAGTTATGATATAAATTTGGAAAAAAAATTATGGCATACTAGTGAAATATAATAGCATTCATTTATGAATTACGATGTAGTTAATTAAGAAAAAAAATTATATATATAAGGAAAATAAAAATTGTTTATATTACTCAATATATAGTAGCTCATCGTAATATATCTTGATCATGTAAAAATCATTATTATTAATACAACAACAACCCAGGAAAATTTCACAAGTGGGGTCTGGGGAGGGTAGTATGTACGCAGACCTTACCCCTACCCCAAAGGGATAGAGAGGCTATTTCCGAAAGACCCTCGACTCAAGATAATAAGAAAAACAAGAAAAACAAAAAAAAACAAAAGGGGAGAATATTAATTTCACCATAGAAATCATAGGAAAAATAGGATCCTAAAATGCATAAGAATAATACAAGGCATAAAAGATGGCTAGTAAATAGATCTAGCACCGAAAAGAGAAAATATTAAGACACGACAATGCCCCTAGTAATTTTCGATTAAAACCTTACCAGACTAGGCTCACAATGGAAAAAAGTAACGCAAGACTCAACTAGCTCTTAGCCTACAACTGTAATACTCGACCTCCACAAATTTCTATCAAGTGTTATGTCCTCGGAAATCCGAAGTCTCGTCATATCCTGCCTGATCACTTCTCCCCAATACTTCTTAGGCCGTCCTCTACCTCTTCTCGTGCCCTCCACAACCAGCTGCTCACACCTCCTCACTGGAGCATCTGGGCTTCTCCTCATTACATGCCCGAACCATCTGAGTCGCGCTTCTTGCATCTTGTCATTAATGGGAGCCACATGCACCTTCTCCCGAATATCATCATTTCTAATCTTGTCCATCCTGGTGTGCCCGCACATTCACCTCAACATTCTCATTTCAGCTACTTTCATCTTTTGGATATGTGAGATCTTAACAGGCCAGCACTCCGCCCCATACATCATGGCCGGTCTAACCACCGCTTTATAGAACTTACCTTTGAGTATTGTTGGCACTATTTTGTCACACAAAACTCCGGATGCTAACTTCCATTTCATCCATCCTACCCCAATACGGTGTGCGACATCTTCATCAATCTCCCCTCCCCCATGGATAACTGACCCAAGGTACTTGAAGCTTCCTCTACTTGGGATAACCTGTGATTCAAGCCTCACATCCTCGCCCACTTCCCCCGGCTCAGTGCTGAAAATACACTCTAAGTATTCCGTCTTTGTTCTACTCAACTTGAAACCTTTAGACTTAAGAGTATGTCTCCAAACTTCCAGTCTCTCGTTAACACCGGTTCGTGACTCATCGATCAGAACTATGTCATCGGCAAATAGCATGCACCATGGCACCTCCCTCTGTATATGGTTTGTTAACGCATCCATCACCTGGGCGAATAAGAATGGACTGAGCGCAGAGCCTTGGTGTAACCCCATTTCAACCGAAAAGTGCTCAGAGTGGCCTCCTACCGTCCTAATCAGAGTCTTAACCCCATCATACATGTCCCTAATACATAAGTAACAAAAAAAATAAAAATCTTAAACAATGCATAGCTAGATTTTAATGAAGTTCCCTTGTAGGCATAAATACTAACGGTAGTAAATGGTTAAAGTTATCAAATGAACATAAGAATTATGATTACTTCTCATTAATTTTCTTCTCATCATGCACATATTAGTCAACATGAAAGGAAAAAAGCTCTTTGATCTTAAGTAGTTACTCTTGAATTGTGGAAAAGTATGTTAATATGGATGGGTTATCACAAAAGAATTGAAGACTGGGAAGAAGAAGTGAATTAGCTAATCAAGAATATGAGTAATAGAAATCCAAAGAGAGCTTTACTAGAAATTGTGTTTGTTGCTGCGGTGTATAACATATGGATGGAAAGAAACAACAAAAGATTTCAACAATGCAAGAAGGCAATACAAGACAGAGCAAAAGAAATTGCTGTCCAAATTCAAGTAACTGGACAAATGAAACCAAAGTAGAGATCATTACTGGAAAGATTAAACAACTATCCTAGTTGTGTATAGGATAGTGTATACATTGTAATAGATAGCAACAGAAGAGTTGTATAGGTTGTTTATGATTTGTTTTGTTTTGAGATTTGCTCGAAAGTCCATAGAAAGCAGATGGTGTAACTTTGCAAAAAAAAAGGTTGGAATCAAAGTTATAATTTCGACCAAAAAAAAAAAGAATGTTATAAATTTTTAGAATAGTTTTAAATCTCGCAAACCTTATTTGCAAAAGAAGTAAATATACATGACATATGTTGTGTTTCTCAAAATTTGAATGTCATAATAAAGGCAAATGAATACTGAGTGAATTCCCTTGGTTACTTACATAGTTATACACTTTGGGTGAAAGAAAAATATTCACATCTAATAATACGCTTTAATCTCAATATCTAAGTTAACACCATTATTCCCTTTAAAATACTTTTGAAATTCATATGTTTTTTTCCAAACATGATTTGAAATAAAAGGTTCATAATAAAATTCTCCTCGCTTGTATTTTCTTTTTCAAGGCGTCAAAGAACAAAAGATATGCCGGTTAAACTTTAGCTGTCAGCCCTTTTTTTGTCCATGTTAGCTAACTACATTTTATGTTATTCACATAATTTGAGATATTAAATTAAAAATTATAATAAAATGGCAATCAAAAGTAATACGTTCACATTTGCTATAAATGACTTAAACCAGACATTAATTATCATAATCAATAATTATCACCCATATGAGAGACTACAATCACCTACATGAAGATTATATGCAATATGTAAAATTAGTCAATATATTTTTTTTTACTTATTTAATATCCGTTTATCTTGTTACTGTTCAAAATGTGGTTAAGTTGCTCGAAAATATCAAATGTTTGCGGGTAAGGGATGGAATTTGAAGGCTTTAAAATTAATAAAATGATAAATACTATGATATGCACCTCTTGATAATAAAATTAATTGATTCTTCAAGTATCATTCACGACAAGATTCTTGTAATTCATATATAACTTCTTTACTGAATATTAACTTTGTCCTTCATAAATCATTGTGTGAATTACTTTACACAAATTATTATAGGCTATTAATTATTGTAGAGTTTATGTTTAAATATCATAACAAAAGTTACCTTAAGTTAGTTTTTATACGATTTTAATATTTTATCTTCAATTTAAAATAATTTCTATTATAATAACTATACTTAATGATGTTAGTTTTCTTAAACTAAATTGTTGGTTTATATTTACGTTCATATATTGTGCTAATTGTATGTGTTGGTATATATTATATGCAACACAAAAGTGAAACCCTAAGCAACTGAACTCGAGGTTAGATCTTGGGCCCATACAAGTTAGAAATTGCACAGGAAAGATTTACCCAAGTTGCAATTATCGATTTTCACAAGTTGAGTGTGTCTAATGGTTTGAGGAGTTTGAGAATTCTAAAAAAAATAGCATTTAGTTTTATACTTATAACTTATACATTGTTGTACTGATCACGCCCAACTATACCTATTAAAAGGACACGTGGACGTTACAAATATAATCTGAGTATTCAGCCCAGAGTCGAACCCACAAGGAATCAACCTATCAATTACTTTCGTTGGATTTACTAAATTCTACGGAATCAACTTCCCAAACGTTGTCAATAACAATTGATGGTGTTTCTACTAACTAAGAATGAGAGTAAATAAGCAACTGAAAACTAACTATGATTAAGTTGTAACCAATTAAGAAAAGGTTCTAAGGTTATGATTTCCCCTATTGATAGAATCTCTTCCGGTTATGTTTCACATAGATTCACCCAATAATTATCTCTATCAATCATGGGCACTCTTATTACCATAAATCTCTCCCGAGTAATCACGATAATTTACTAAACGCATTCTCCCGAGTTACGCTAGCTGGCTTTATTTATTACATCTCACTTTAGATTACACTCAAGACTTCG